CTTGAAATATTTTTGCTCATCTGGAGGCACGCAGCTTAAATAATAAAACATTTGACTACCTAAACTGGAGTTAATGAGTTTCTATTAATATAATTATCTGTCTCCTTTTCATTTTATATTGTTGGTGTTAGTTTTATTTATACATTGTACAATGACAGTTATGAAAAGGTTATGAGTAAACAACATGGATTTTTTATAAACAAACATGCACCATTAACAAATATTATTGTTTTCACTTTACATATATTTAGTTATAACTTAACCATGAAAAATACATTACGTTGGAACAGTACAATATGATTTTTTTATTGCGTGTCATCATAATAATATGAAATGTCAGATGTCCTTTTACAATAACCAAAAATAGAAATAAACAAGGACAAAATAAATATAAATAACACTTACGTGGAAACTTCACTGCACACGTGTTTTTTTTTTTAATTCCACAAACGTATACAAACTATTTTAAGTATTTTACATGTCTACACCATTTCATTAAAAAAATACAAATTACTAGAAGTCCTTTTACTTATCAAACGTAATGCTATAATTCAATCACATATACGTATCTCCAAAAAAGGTCACAAATTTCCCAACAATGTATTTTTTATATTTCTCTATCGTGCACTATTTATCGGAATATGATTTATGTTTCAATTAAAATCGCTGCATGCGACTTTTCTTACGAATTGTCTTATATTATGAAAACAAACACAGTATTATTAATCCGCGTTTAACGTTAAATCTAAAACCTTTGTACATGACTATAATCCTATTGACGTTCAGTATTAATAACTAGATTTTATTGTATGGATGAAGCCTGTATATAAATTATTAAGTAAACCGATACGCCGGCTTATTCAAAAGTAAGACGCGAGATTGTCAGTCTTTCGAAACAAAAGATGCATTATTGCCAATTATTCCGTTCAAGGTAATTAAAATCTCGACCGGGTTTTATATAGTTCAAATGTCTTTCTTAAGCGTGGTATTTTTAAAATTGTTTGTACTGAAATAAAAGCCATTTTATATTTAATAGATCGGTTAGTGCACGCATAACATCAAAAATAAAGTCTTTGTATTAAAGTATTTGATAATGAAGTGTATAGTCTTAAATATGACTTGGCATTGTCATTTTTTTCAGGACATTGGCAAAGCTATATTTATTTTTGCATAGATTAAAATAGCGTTGTCATTATAAAGGCAGAGTTTTTCCTCAGCTAAATTAACTTGTTTCGCTTAAGCACAACTTGGCAATAGCAATTAGTCATATCCCGGAGTGTGGTTAGTACAACTTAAAATAGTTATGACTAAAGTAGGGCTCGAACCAACTGGGTACCAGTACAGAAGACGTTACATCCAGTTTGGCTTAATTTTATTACTTAAAATTGATGTAGGAAGACTATAGGGTTATTATACGCGTGTCTAGCTCAAGATCTTATATTCGACCTGCGTTAACTAAATGAAAATATAAGTAAAAAAAAATCAAAATACTATATTTTCATTGACCTTTATATTATATACTTCCTGGAATAATCACTAACGTATTGATATTACGTCATCAACGTTATCAACGTCATCAGCGTTATTTTGGATCACATTTGCTTTCATTCTTTCGGGTCGTATTCGTGTATGGCGGATTAAACCGTAAATTTAGCAAAATGTTAAGACTAGAATAATAAGAAAAATAATATGAAATAATTGAAGAGATAATAATTTTAAATGTCTTTGTCATGAAGGAATTAACAAAAGTCAAGTATAAACATATCATTAATTAAGTAATAGAAAAACATGCATAATCTTCTTGATCTTTATATGTTTACAATTTATTGTACTATATAGGATATTAGCGTCAAATGTTATAAAAATATTACGCAAACTTGCTAGGACATATCTTGTAAAGGTGATAATCTATTGTTCAATTTTTGTATTTCAAAGTATTAAAAGATATTAAAAGATACAATATCATAAACAATTATTTATGATTTCTGATAAAGTATTTACAGTTCGGAGAAATTAATATATTTTTCTTGTAGAGTTCTTCCTTGTACATAGGTATTTTCATGATGAAGAGTAAGTTTGTTTTCATGAGAATATTAAAACCATCCAAATGCAAAATTGGCATATTTTTTAACGATAGATTCAATGAATCAGTATGAGAAGTCCCCCTTACTTATTCACTATATAATTTCATGCTGAAGAACAGACGACCAATTTATTACCAAAACGTATTTAGATATTTTACGGACTCCTTTCAAACTCAGAAAAGATGTGAAATCAGTAAAAAAAAACATATAAGGAACTTATAACATATAGGCTCTTATGTTTTCATGTTCATACGAGGTCACTTTATGCTCCTATATAAAGAAAAAGTAATATCTCATGCTCCTATAAAATGAAAAAGTTAACTCTTATGCTCTTATAGAATGAAAAGTTAACTATTATGCTCCTTAAATATCAAAACGTTTACTATGCACTTCGACATATCGACCTTTTCCTTTCAAGTAAAACTTTCTTGGCGCTCGATATTTCATAAAAGGGAGAATACTAAAATGATTACAGTTTTAAAACCATTAATCAGTTACCTCCCTTAACCGATCGTTTTTAAACCTTTAACTTTAATTTCATTTCATGAAACAGATCGTATCCAAATAAAAATTATAACTCACTTAATTAAATATGCGACAGATAAATATAATAAATCTACTCATGCCTATTTTCTCAATATACCAATCAAAATTTTTTTGAAAATCTGTTTTATACGGAAACTACGGAAACGAATACTGACCCCCATTATATTTATCAAAATGAAGACATTATCAGTAATTTCAAGTAAGTTATATAGTTAAACATATATAAAATGACTTAGTCTATAAGATATTTGTAAAATTCATTCGTAACACGCCCACGTAAAATTAAAATTATCTTTTTTACTTTAAACAAAAAAATAACTTTTACGGCTTTGCATGTTTGGAAATTATAATGCTTAATAAAATAAAGAAGTCATGGTTTCCAACAATAAAAGAGAAAAAATAATGATATGTTTTTTTTTAAGTTGATATCATGAATGTGTGATTTAGATGATCTTTAAACACACGATAAATTAATTTAAATCTTAAACGTTTGAAACAGTTGACCCGGCCAATATTTACTTTCAACCAATAACTTTAATCAAGAGTAAGCGACCAAATTCACAAAAGCTGTACATGTAATCGCCGCACTTACAGATTAGCTTTAATCCATTAAGAAAATGTATAGCAAGTTTTAATACCTAAATCTATTATGCTGTAAGAATTGGGAAAACGAATTTACAACTTTAACGCTATTTAAATTCTACTTGTTACTTCAGAACGCTTGTATGTGTAGAGAGACTTTGTCTGGTAGAAGTTGTGTTACCATGGATTAAGCGGAAGTTCTTATCAAAAGCAAATCCTTTTAAAAATGTTTTCTGTAGATAAAATATTGAAAGGACCAAACAAGCTTCTGTAGCAAACTTTAAACGTATATGTGACATCATTTGGGACTTAAGTTAGAAGATTAGGGATAAAACAAAGTGTCAAGATGTGTACCCGTTTGTTCGGCAGAAAGTAAGTGAATTCTAAATGTTGAGAATGATTAATTGTTAAAAAGTTTGCATAATCATATTTATTAAATTACTGTAAATCATATACATTGCATATTGCCTTTTCTCCTTTATAATAAAGTCAATTTGAAGGTTATTGCGAAAATCTTTGTGTTGTAATTCTTTTAAATATTTTTCCTACGATTTAAATAGATTAAAGGTTTTATAATATATTCTTTTCAGTTCTTTTCCGACTTTGTATCGAATTGTTAAAAAGAAATGTTGTTATAAATTTACGTTTTATTTTCTTTAGATAAATTTATCTGTGTACATTTGATATGTTTATATTACTTTACAGATCATTATCACCATTCTTTAGAAAACATTGAGAAATGACCTTGTTTAAATGTTTATTTAGGTCGAACACCACTAAATACTTTCCCCCATTATATTGTTTTACAAAGTAATACTTCTAAATCAAAAATGTTTTAAAGGAGAAAGCGTGTGAAAATAAATTGAAAAAGTAAAAACGTGAAATTAACGACATGGAATATATACTTATTTTCTGAATTTGAATGCCACATGCCCTGTTTAAATGTTTATTAGTAGGTCAAATACTACTAAATATTTTCCTTCCGTATAAACTAATCAATCATATTTTTATAAAGAAAAAAAGATCTTGAAGCATCGTCTTAATAGTTTAACATAAACTACGACTTTTTCAAACTTATATTTCTTAAGCAATGATCTGAAGAAAATAGTTTTGTCCTAAAGAACTAAAATTATGAACCTTCGAAATTAAACATATGAAAGTGTTACTTACTGGAGACCCTTTTATACATTCCTGACAAACACTTACTGATTTTCTTTTTTATAATAAAAAGCGACCTTCTATAAATGCATTTATTTAAAGTCCGAACAATACGAAACAATGTGCATATAATACCCTTCTCTTTTATGCAAATGAAAAATAAATGAAGGTTAATTAAACCGGTGATTTTAATTTATTTTTATTCTTATCTTTTTGCGATAATGAATTCAAAGTATTTAGTGTAATGAGTGCTGAAATGGCAGCTTAGTAATTGTTCTATTGCACAGAGATTTAACGCGAGATATGATCAAGGGCGATGAAAGTAAAAACAAAAGGGGTGGGCATAAATTTTCGGTCATTTTTACTCAAACAAACAGTAAACGACAGTACGAGTTTAATAAATTCTCACTGGAATTTTCATTGAAAATAAAATATAGGACCAGGGAGTCTCAAAGAAATAAAGAAAAGTGAAGATCAAAGTGAGATAAATTTCCAAACCCATTTGTTACAGGTGTATATGGACAATCATTCAGTATTTTAACGATATATTGAAACTATATAATGTTCATACATTTCTCTAATGATTAATTTTTTCAGAAATCGTATTTTAATGTTCAGTTTTTTCAGGGTTGTGTGTCAAGTAACAGAAAACATCGACGGAGAGTTTTATATACGTGTATTGCATATTTAGATGACCGATTATGAAAACTTAACCAAAAACACGCATAATTGAAATGGTTTTCAATAACCAAGTCATGCATGAGTGCCCAAGTTTACGTTTGCTCCCAAGTTTACGTATGCTCGAATATTGAATCTATATTATCTACGACATTGTGAAACATGACAACTAAAACCATGGCAACAAGTTCACAGACTTTGAAGAAATCGATCTTAAAGAAACCGCCAAAAATTGAGTTTACATCTTTGAAGAAAGACAGCAGAGAACTGTGGCGAAAAGCCAAGAATGTTAGGTATTCTAAACGAAAATGATTGCTCCATCTATATTTAGTATCAAAATTCCATCAGTACTTAGTTCCCTCCCTTACTTTTGGAAAAAAAGAATAAAAGAAATGCTTTCCATTCATAACAAAAAAAAATTAATGGAATAGATGGGCTTCGTGACCAAAGAGTTATCAATTCGAAAGCAAAATGACAAAAATATATTTGAAAACAATATTCTATAAACCTACACGAATATGCATTTACAGGCTTTTTGGTAGTAAATAGACGGTACTTGAGTAAATAGTAGGGTCTGGAACAAGTATTTGAAGGAGTTTTGATTAAGGATTACGAACCCTAATGAACATGTTTGCAAGTGGCCATATTGGTATCTCCTTAAATCATGACGTCAAAGTGGAATACACCCACTCACGTGACAATACTGTCCTAAAAAAGAAATTACGAAACCTGTCGAATGAAGACGGTGGCTCACGTTATTACCCGACTGATTCATTAAGGTTCGTAATCCATAGGTTCTCAGATTCACATTTACAACAGAAGAAAACGAATTATGTTGTGTATATTTATCTTTGATATAGACCGGCGATGGATGAAGCGGATTCTGAAAATCTGCAGAATCTAGAACGCAGGTCTGCGAGGAAAAGGTATCATGTGACCTGACCACGTGTTGCACTTTTTGTTTGATCATTTGTGTTCGACTTTGAAAAATCACTAAATGTAATGGTTGTTGCACTTTTTGTTTAATTATTAGTGTTCGTTTTTGAACGTCACAATATAAAAAAAGGTTGATTCAATTGCATTTGGTTTGCACTTAATCAAACATGTGTTGTTATTATTGATGTTGTTATGAAGACCTTTTCTGAAAGCTCGTATTTGCTTATTCACTATAACACTAACATTTTGTATATATTTATTACGAAAAGGACACAATTTACAAATGATCACATTCGACCAATACACTGTTAATAGACACACTAGTCAATAGCTTATTTGAATTGTATTATATTTCTAAAAGGAAGTCATGCGTGGAATTAGTGTGTCTGCCTGTCAACACAGATACATCGGGTTCGATCACTAGCAAGGTTACAGCAATGTTTCGTCATTAATGGCATCATATCTGATAAGTTCAGAAAGTGGAATATAAAAAGGCTCAATCTAAAATGATATAATTTATTTTACAATCGAGTTTTAATGTTTAAAATTAACTCCAATTTTCGTGTAAGGGTACTGTTTTTTTTCTTCAATTTTACAAACGTACATTGATACTATTTAACAAAATATTAAAACAAACATTGTTACAAGAATTAAACTATTTTAACACATTAATATTCAAAATGTGTTCTCTTTTTAATATAATAAATGTAACTTTAACGCCATTAAATAAATGTATTTATAAATTCATAATGGCACACGACTTTTGTTAAAGTAATATTCGTATTTCTAGCATAATTCCACAATACCGTTTCAGTACAATCCAATATGTACACATAAAGTATTGTGCCAAAAATATTACTTTAACCTATCTATGTTGTTTAGCCTAACGTCTGGGTTGTCAAGGAAACCAAACGCTATGAAGATGAGGATGGAGGTTGACAAACTATGGGAGTCCAGTCAGCTACTCATGAAGAAAGAAGGGTTGGTATCTTTAACCACTAAAAAAATCCTATTGCAATGAACGTTTAAGTGAATCTATCATACTTAAGATTATACTCTTCGTTGCTTCCGTCGTGTTGAAATAGAGAAAAAACGGAATCTCTATAGAACGCCAAAAACAGTGGTAAATATGAGAAAAATGCTGCCTCGGTCCGAATGAGCCAGTTCATGACTCATGGACGGTGCTACCGTTTACGACCCTAACACTTTTTTCAAACAGGCTATCATTATATTATTACTTGCACAACCTGTTGGTTCTTATTAAAGTTAAGGAGCCAATGGTGTATCCATACTTTTCTATTTTTAGCGCCCATGGGTTTTATGGATGATACGATCGTAAACCATGTTTAAATCCTAAAATCCAATTAATATTTTATTCTGTTCAGTTAATATATATACTATAACATGTCAGACAAACCATAGAGCACTCTTTCCAATTAGATTGATGTTCTTGACCATGATGTAAAACAGAAAAATGATTTATCGAATTATTACGTTTTCTGCATCTATAACAAACTTGTAAAATAGCATGTTATTGTTTCATAGGTGTTGAAAAATTGTACAAATAGTAAAAGACAATGGACCTTTCTACACTAGACATGCTATATGATCATGTAAAATGTAACTGGATGTATTTTGATCCTTCAGGGACTTGCAGAGGACGACATAGAAAAGTTAAGAAGAATTATTAAAGAAGCTGTTGATATGAGTAGCCGAATTCGTGTGCTCATCCGAGAAAAAGACACGTAAGATATTATAATAGTATAATATAATTTATAAGCTTATTTGATAAGATAATATAAAATAATATAATAAGATAATATAATAAGATAATAAAAATATGCATTATGTTTGTCATAATTAAACAAAATTTAATAAAATTCAAGTTAAATAACTAAGCTTTAGTACAATTCTTTAAACATATCCTTTAAAATATTTTATGCTCCTATTTGATACTAGTATTAATAAATTGATAATTACTATGAAATGTAAAATCAACATGTTCTGAATACACACAGAGATGACATGTTACGTTTTAAACACTATATGTTATCATAGTTTGATTACATAGTGTCATTAAAAAGGCAGTTTTTTAAGAATAGACCAAATTAATTTATCAAATTATAAAGAATGCAGTGTTTCCCAAAGATAGTTTATACATTCACTTATTCAAATAAGACATGTCCAGATTTCAAAAATAAAAAGATAAATAAATTTCCGTCATAAAAGTATTTTACTCAAAATTGAGCATATTATATCTTTAAAGAGATTAATCAATACAAAAAAAAATAATTTATTTAGCGGCCTATAGATAAGTATGAAGTATATTTAACCTATTGTAGATATACAGATGAAGATGTTGTTGGCCATGCAAAGGATATAAACAACTTACAGCTGTTTCTACATAATGTAGTGGAGATCTGGACAAAAGTTGATGACCATCTGAAAGAGAAGTATATATGCATTTACATTTTATATCGTTATTCGTAAAACGACGATTACTTACAAAGAAATTAGATTTGCTTAAAATGATAAACAGACGTTTTCGCTCTTCCTTTGTCACTAAAGTTGAGTAGTTGAAAGTCCTAACATATTGTTGCAAGAGTGTTTTAATAGGTGTAGTTGAAAGTCCTAATATGTTGTTGCGAGAGTGTTTTAATAAGTGTAGTTGAAAGTCTTAACATAGTGTTGCAAGAATGTTTTAACAAGTTCAATAAATGTTTCTTTATATTAAAATTCTTAATATGTTATAACAATATACATACAGACATAAATAAAGAAATAAGAGATAAAATACTGAGGTTTGCAATTTGAATAAATTTAATTAGTCATAAAAACGCGTTAAATGTATTTTGTGACCCACTTTCAAGTTATTTTTGCAAATGCCTTTTATGTTATTATTTATTTTTAAGATTTTCTCACCGAGTTATGGCAGAAATGATGGAACTGGCCACAGATATAGCTTCAGTCTACGGAGAAGTCATGTCTATATTTCTGCAAAGGTAATTCATACATTTTCTCCCCATACAAATACTTAAAGAAAAAAACACCCACTTCGTTGGTACATTCGGAAACGATAAAACCCTGCATTCTAACTGTTGTTCAAGGTCTTTTCGAATATTGTGATTAAGTAAGGAACCTTGTGGCAACATGATTTCTTCATGTTATGACAAGGGCATGATCAGTCGCAATTATACTTGTCTATCAATATCACAATGAAATCAATGATTGGGTAAAAAGCTAGCAAAAGCTTGAAATATGACCGTTCCATGTTTCAGGATTATTTCTACGCTCGTATTATGTGTTGTTTTTTTAACAACACTTATATTGGTCGTAGATAAAAGGATAGTTTTTTATTTTCAATAACCGTTAAATTTATCCTTGACAACATTTTTTATACGCATTGCCAATTACATTGTTTTATGATCAATAACTATATATATAACATAAAATTATTTGACATTATTTTTATGTTAAATAGGTTCGGTCTCGATATTGTACCTTTGCTCCGTCCAGTGCATGGTTTGTTCTACAGTATTAGTATCCACTGTCGATACCATTGTCCGGACATTGCCGAGGATGATGTCAACGAGATGAGGGCATTGTATAGCAGCTTTCTTACCGCAATGTTGAACTTCATGAAGAGCACAAAAGTCCTTCTGAAGAGACTAAGGTATCTTCAATTTGCCTTACTAACAATATTTGTACACGCAACCCCAGATCAAATAATTAAAATTATTAGGTAAAACATATTATAGGTCAATATCATATATCATGAATAACAAATCAATTCTTGAGTTGAATTTTAAGATAATGTTACCACCAAATCATCGTTATCGAAAAGTAAAACCTAACTCGCCTAGAATTAAAGATACTTGCAACTCCTCTAAAACAGCTAGAAAATTGTTTTAACAATAATGTATTTTCTTTCTTCATAAAGAAAACAGTCAGAAAATGTATGCTTGAAAATGACGTAAATCAATATATTATATATTCATTTTTCAACCTATGCATGTTCTGTTGTTGTTGTTGTTTTCTATTTCAGAAGGCCACATTGGAAATAAGATATATATGATTGCTATTGTATTTTCTTAATGTGTAACCACCTTTAAATAAAGATATTTAAATAAAGATATTATTATTATTATTAATTAGCATCATCAAAATCCATGAAATAATTATCATCAATGTTGATGAAATACATTTTCAGACAATATGAATAAATATGTTTCATAAAGGTATCCTTTGAAGTAAAAACTGAAGGTTTGAGGTTTATTTTTTCTAATATATAAGCACAATATATTTGATAGCCCATGCATTATTTTCACGGTTTACTATTTTAGATTTGACACCGAGATTATTGCACAAAGAAGGCGACTTGTTCAATCAAATATATCAGCTGTGATTGAAGTGATGCACTCCATGATTAAAGATGGTCGAATGTAAGACAATATCTAGTTTATACGGAATTGATTTTACCTTTAATATGTAGGAAGCTATGGGTTCATTGACACACATTTGAAACCGTTCCTTGATTCAACACCCTAAGCAACCAGTACTAAGCAATGAGTGAAAAGTTTATTGCTTTTAAGAAACAGCGGCTTTCCCCTGAGACAGGGTTTGAACCATCCTTGAGGCCACATCCCCTAGAAGCTTATTTTCTATCGTTTGCATAAACGTTGTGATATGTACCTTGTATAATATTTAAGATTCATTAAGTTGTATTTACGTTCAAAATATTAAAACAAGAAAAATAAGGTCTATGAAATGTATACACAAATATTTTTAAAAGACTGATTCACTTGTAAAAACCATTCAAAACAAAAAAAAACTCATTTTAATGCTTGAATACGTCGATCCGTGATCTTTCTTTGACTCTTTAGTGCATCGTATATATCCATATTTTTGCTTTCAAACTGAAAATGGTTCTATCATTCTCCAAAACACATGATTTTATATGCTTTTAAGTGACTTTCATAATTATTTATTTTACACAGGTGCGCGGCTGCGGAGTATGTAGACACAATAGAAAGAATAGGAAGCTTGTGTACTGACATTTTCTTTGTCGTCGGCAAAACATCGGGGTAAACTGTTAACATTATATCGTTATTGCGGGAGATTTCAATTTTTTTTGAGATGTGTAGCCTATAATAAAAGACTTAATTAATTTAATTGAAATATATTTTATATTGATTTAAGAAATTTATTTAGACTCTCAAATAAAGAAAAGTAGACGTTACAACGATGTTAAATAATAAATCATAGTGAAATATATGTTGAAATTTATTTATTTTAAATTACGTGGTTGTGAATTGATTTCATCTGAATATGCATTTAAACACAAAGCAAAACTTTTTTGAGACCATAAACAGCATTTTATATAAATGAGTATTAAACAATTGCGCTGGTAAAAAATATCAATAAGGTATAATTTTGACTGCCGAAAAAAATCAGTCTTCTACCTTATTACATGAAATATGTTAAAATCTTTAACAATTGGGCACTTCTAAATGAAGTTTCAACAGTGTTCATGTATACAAAAATTAACAAAATTTATTTAAATGATTATAAATGGTGATTGTGATAAAAATGTCAGGATAGCAGAACAGCTTGAGTTAGGAGAGGGGGTATTAGCTCTAGAACCAGCGGAAGTGCTCGGGGAGATATGCCACTCTGACGTCATGAGATGTCCTATAGAGCAAAGACCTGTTGTGCTGAAAAATCTCGAGATTGACGATGGGTCTTCATTTATTACAGACGTTTTTGTCCAAACCGGAAGTACATTCAACCCTTCTCAAAAGGTAATATATATTTTATCATGTTTTAAAGGAAACGAGAAAGACTCTTACGTAAAAGCATACTAGTATTATTGTTGCTACGAATATTTGCTTATCATAATCAAAATATTAGTTAATAAGAGCAAATGTAGTATCATGGCTATAGACAGTCATTAAATGTCAAATCTGTAAATGTCACCTATTTATTGCTCTATTTTATTAAACATGACATTTGACTAAGTTTGTACCTTTTCCCCCATGAAATACCTAAAGTTATAACATATTTTCTTTAATCTTGATGCTCTCTTTTATAACTGAAATAAATCTTTACTTTACTTGGCACAGGTCACATTGCGCATGCCTTTCTCCGGTGCAGCGTTTCCGCCAGGAGCGGTTATCAAAGTGAAACTGAAAATAGGCGAGGAATGGTATGACACTCCAGGCATTATAGTGGTTAGTGACTCTCGTCTATCTTTAAGACAAGTTATTTAAGTAAGACAGATATTCACCCAGATAACATGATATTGGTAGATCCTTCCGAGAGCCAGAATTTAATCCATTTCGTTATTTGTTTTTTAAATGCGTTAGGTGATTATTATATCTCTGTCTCTCCCAAAGAATAAGTTCCTGTCTGTTAGAGCATACGATCGTGAATCGCTTGTTTTTTTTGCACCAACAATGCGTGCAAATACCATATTGATATAGTAATGTTTTTTGTAATTTTAAATTACCATGGCATATATCGCAAAATATAAAACAGTCTCAATCGTATTTATTATTTTCAGTTATATTCATGATAACAGTTAACAAATCTTACAACGTCATGTTTTATTCTAGCGTGATCAAGGTCCAGATTCTCTTCAACTTTTACCAGACGGTGTTATGAAAGTCAGCATTAAAAATCAAAAGAAAGACAAAGAAAAAGTCCCTACCCCTGTTACGGTACACTATTTTCATACTATATATTTTACATAAAAACATAAAAACTTCCTTTATTGTTTATGATATTAAATTAAGCTCCTAATATTTACACTCTATATGAATTCATATACTTAGCAAACGAGCATAACAATTTGAAAATATGATAGTTCGTTCACATTTACTAAGTAATCGAGCACAATAACTTGAAAATGTTATAGGTCATTCAACATTTATATAATTCGACGCCGAAATCCGTAGAACAAACAAATTGGACTGTCTGAAAACTTAACATTAAAACACTTGACCTGGTGGGAAGATGTTTTGCAAAATGAGAGTAAATACTATTGTAACTGTTGTAAACATATATTCCTTGGTTTATCTGGTCTAACATTTCCAAAACGAATTACAACATGGTCACTTTCTTCTTCTAACAGGAGGAAATGATTGAGTTCAGCTCGAAGTATATGCAGGCATTTGTTGCAACTATAGAATACATTGCATTGATGAAGGAGCTCTCCCCATCTGGATATTGTTATATATGTCCCGAGGACGACAGAGTCAGACTGAACTTTCCCGAAGATTGTGTCTCTAATTTAACATCACTGGCATTCAAGGTAAAGAAAATATGCAATTTAAAGGTGTTTTTTCGCTGTTTTTAACCTATATTCATTGTTTTGCTAAAAGGACCTCTTTATTCTTTTCCTTATTGATCGTTATGAAAAAGCTTTTCGAAATCTTGTAAAGCTACTCAAAACTTTGTCTAGACAGTACAAACACATTCGATTGTATACTTGTCGTATTTAAAACAATACAAATGTATATAAAAGAAAACGATCATTCAAAGGCGTATGATTCTACATTAATACTACAGAAAAGAAACATACAAAATATACTGATGTGCTCAAATGAATTGATAGATATACAGTAAGAAATTTGACAAATGTTTTAATGAAGCCTTTAGTTTTGCCTTTATTTCCTATGTTTTGTTTATTTTTAATTCCAGTTGATTCAAATAAACCGAGCAAGGATGTTTGATTACAAGGAACAATGTCCTAATTTATGTCGTAACATCTTGGCTATGTCAGATATACTCAAAGTGTATCATGACGACAACGTCGTATTTATGAAACCAGTTATGTGTCATTTGCCTATCCCTAATGACATCGACGACACAGAATCAGAAATTGTCATCTTCCGCTCACGTGATGACGGTGAATTGGAGCTTATACCAAAACGAACAGCGATGTTATGTCCTTCTTCACAAAACTGTTACACATTTCAAGTACAGAGTTTTAGCGGGTGAGAAATTCATTATATACTGAATTGTATGTCAGGGAGATAAATTATATTTTGAGTCACGATTTAAATATGGCCAAAGAAAGGTCTAATGGCCACCATAAATAGATGAACAGATTCACTTGCAATTATTTTATATGTGTTATACAAGATTGCAATAGAATCAAGTTCAATGATAACAAACGAACAAATGGATTTTTAAGTTGATTTTCGTCCTATTTAATGCAGCAATGCGACTGAACGATGAAACCTGAGGAACGCGTATCATCTAACGTAACAAAGTGTAGCGTTGGAATTAAAATGTAGAACCCAAACAAACACATTGAAAATGCATGGAAAAAATCTTGGGCATCAAAATTTGTTATTACACGTCCCTCCCCTTCTTTCACCGCTCTTGTGTCTTCTCCTGTTTTCAGTTTTGTGCCTTCTGGGTGCCCTGATGGTAAGACTGGATTGCATCGGGAATTGCATTCTGTGAACGTCGCCTTGCTTTGTTCATCGTTGTTCTCATTTTGTTCACCTTTTTTAAGAACGCATGTTGAAGGGTGTTCTAATATTAATGTCCTCTGGGACAAATTATTATTTTACCCAGGCTTAATCTTACATTTCAGAATTGCAATAGGGAAGGTAAAAAAGAAGAACTTAAGGAAAAATCGTGCATCAATTGTAGAAGAGTATGAACTTTACACAGAAGAGGCGTACATTTGCAATATTCTCACATTCCTTGATAAATCTTTACTACATGTGGGTCTAGTCAAGGTGTTTTGTGAAGTTGTGGAGAGGAGGTTTGTCAAGAAAGCATTGAGAAGAAGAACAAAGGAAGGATTATTTGAGGTCCCTGGAAGCCGTTCACCAAGTATTCGCCTCAAGAATGAGGATATAATTTGTATAGAGATGGAGGGGAATATACAGCGGATACGAGAAGTTCCGTTACAAAATTATTTCATTGTTTTCCTTGTTAGTGCTCGAGATAACTACAGAACGTTTTCTGTGGAACCAAGGAAAGATCCCGAAAACAGAGCCTATGGTGAATATATATTTTGATTTGAACAAAAATCTAGATGGCTTATTTAAAATTTTCACGATTATTGTAAACCATAGGATTATATGTTTTACTCACTTCAAGATTAACTTAAAAGTCGCTAAAATTAGCTCCTTCAATGTGACTATAAATAAGACCAAATCGAGAAATAGACAGCTGAATTTTTGTAACTTTATAAATTTAATGATTTTTAATGAGTGCAAAACCATGTTGTTTAAAAGTAAATTTCTTGATATGATGTGGTAGATATATGCAGGACCATGTAATGATAAAACCAGAGGTCTTATTGATATACATAAATAACTCTTTTATCATACAGGCTTATTGAATTATTACAAAGACAGCGAGGATGATCAACCTTTCCTCCATAGTGCTCACATCGACGCCAACAAATATATGATAGGGCATCTTGACCGTGCAAAAACCGCTCCAAATACAGCCAGAGGTATGTTTGTACAAATCATTCCTATTTTAAAGATTCGGATAAATAAATGATTAACTATTTGAAAACAGACAAAACAGTTAACACAAATTACAATATGTGCTTGAATTGATATATTCATGAGTTATATGGTACCTGAAACATACGTAAACAAACTACCGCTGATATGTTTTTAAATACAAAAATGTACGCATAATTAATCAAAATCACTGATTATTCAACTAAATGGAAATGCAACAGCTAGATATTAGAAGTGTGTCTTCGCTTGACTATTAAATAAATTTCATGCTTTATCGCTTGATTTCTTTTTAATTTATTTTATATATTAAAGGACCAGGGGTGATGACACCAAAATCATTTGGTGGATCATGGACAACTTCTCGACCAGCAACAAGATCGGCTAGAGAATCAGTCAAATACAGAGCAGTCTTTGGTAAAAGAAAATATATAGCATTATTCTCTGAACTATTTATTTATTTATTTCATTTATTTATTTGTTTTATTTTTATTTTGTTCTTTTAATCAAAATTTAAAAAAAATCAAATATTTTGGAATTCCAAATCAGTATCCCAATACATTTTCTGAATTGTTTTATAATACATTTATTTGTATGTTAACAAAGATTGCAAGTTATTAATGTTGTAATGAATTTATTCTACTATATCTCGTTGTAGACCAAAACTGTGTTTTAAGTTTTTGGATGTGATTAGTTGATTAAATTTTGAATTTTGTTCTAAGTGATCAAACGTTTACTATAATTGCAGGAAATGTTTATTGTTAAATCTTAAACCCCCTTTGTTCAACATCCATAGTCTTTGTTTGATTTAGCATTTTTATGATATTGATTCACGATTATTTCCTTAGCATTATCAATGTTTCTCATTGGACAAATAATTACGTTATATGCTATTATGTAAACACTTCCTTAATAAAGATTAATGCAAAGTTTATTACTGGTTGTTTAGTTTTAATATGAAGTGTTGTAGTCTAATTGTTTTTCCTTCACGTTCAAATTATGCAATGTTTACTCTTTTACTTTGTTTAATGTTTTAAAAACTGATAATGATATTAGTTTTAAAGTGTTGTTTTCATGTTTTGAGGTGAATAGTTAATAAAACTAGTTTATCGACAATTGTTTCATATATGTTTGGCGGGGAAAAAATAGAAAATTATAAAACATAAAAAAACGTTTTTCAAAGCAGTTATAATTGAATAGTCTTGTCTGGAAAGCAAGATTATTTAAAGATATAATTTTATTTAGTGAAATTGAAATGTTAGAAGAAACTGAGCAGGCCCTTTTTAAAAATAACACATTATCCTCGAAGCTGATCTCATAACTCCCAATATTTTTAAAACGTCATTATATTTATTTTGTAGATGAAGTTCCTGTATTAAGTCATCAAAGTATCCTTGCATTGTGCAGCTATCTAAAAATAGAAACAGTTCAGAATCTAGCGTACGAACTCGGCGTTCCATATGATGAAGTCATGGAATCGAAATGTTCAGGTACTTCTGCTGCTAACAAAACTAGATAACTTGGATGTGCTCATAAAACTCTAAGAAACTCATATAATCACTCTTATGTTCCCTAAGTCTAAAACAAAGTGTTTTTTTTTAATCTTATATTTTTTACCTTAATTTCCCTAAATCTGAAGTTCATGTAGTGATAATTGTTCTTGCTTCCACAGTGGCATGCTGTTCTGACATAACATGCGGCAGATAGACTATCCTATTCAAAAAGTTAAAATGAACCGTTTTACTGTGTATAATAGCAGCTTTTTCAAATTGTTGATAAAGAGTTACATTTGTTTTGACTAAACAAACCGTCCGACATCATGTTCAACCATCTCTTAGTCTTCCTTTGGCGATGCATAAGCATTTAAAAAAAAGAACTCTTTGTTAGATCTACACTCTATCATCATTTTTACATTACTGCAGAATATATACCGATTTTGAGCAATTGGTTTCTAAAAACATGGTATTTGCCATGCACAGTAAGCAAAGTTCAATAAAAAAAAATTGATGCTGCCCGTAAATGCTGGAATCACCCATGTTAAAAGTTAAGAACAACATTTTATATCAAGCATAAATACATTTTCTATCTGTTTTTCAGGTGAGCCTCCAGTAATGATTAACTATAACATTTTGTGGAAATGGAGAGGACCTAAACCAGCTAGAGAAAAGGTTCAACAACTTATTAACGCATTTAGAATATGTGGGTACTCCCATATCGGAGAGAAAATCATGAACGCAGGAAACCAGAAAAGAGCGCTAACAAAAGAAGAATTCAAATAGAAAAAAAATGTTAGGAAACAATCATATGTGCTATTCAAGAAAATACAAGAAAAAAGTGATGCCAAAAAATAAATATAAACTATAACTGCATGTTGTCTTCATGCAGAAGTACTGACGTGCCGTTTTTGGTAAAAGAAAATTACTTCCACATGCTTATGTACGCGGAATAAAAACAACGTTTTGGACGTTTACAGTTTCCATAATAATGTAAACTGGTAATAACAGTTGGAATCAGGCGATGATTTTATGTGTATGTGTATTAGAAAGGACGCATGTTGTTTTTTATTTGTAAAGTAACTATTGTAAATCCCATTTCAGTCTTATATAGTCTAATATTACTTCATTCATATATTCTTTTGCCTGTCCATATGAAGAAATTCTGAACATTTCGTAACAGTTTTTGCATGTACAAATACATGTTGATGTACAATCGACAGTTCTTCAATAGCATTTGACACTGTTGCTGAAACTCCACCAATGTTAATCATCTCTTCTTGTCAACCAATAATTATAACATTTCAATTATTATCACCCTTTATTAATAATAAAATAAGCTCAGGCGGTGACAAGATTGTGCTTTGATGTCCCTGTTTTGTCCAGATACTTCGGATGTTGCTCTTCTAGACATTTACAGTCTTATTTAGCATCATTTACATCAAATGTAAAAAAAATCAATCATATAAACTGTTAAAAACTAGAATAGAATGTTTTATTATAATTTGTTATCAATGGTTTATTTCCTTATTTGTGATATATGTATGTAAAATCGATTATGTTTTATAGCATTATGAGGAAATACTTTCATTTTGAATTTCATTGTTTCTGTGTTAGCACTATTGTGTTTATTAATTTTGGAAATAGTGTTTTATCGTCTATTTTTTTAAAAATGAATTTGCCACTAAAATGGAATTGAATTCGATCGTACATTAACACCATCCACAATGTAATTAATATACCAACTCAGTATGTGTTCTCTATATAATATCAGAGAAGAAAATTTCGCCTGCTGGTATATGGTTAGCGATTACAAAAACGTGTCATTTGTTTATGACCTGATGACACCAAAAGATGAAACAGTACACTTTGTAACTCTGTCTTGATAAGAAGAAATTCCCTTAGATAAATCTAGCATCTTTTCCTGTCTTATTAAGTAATTTGTTTGCACATGAGGAAGTTTAATCTGTTTTATCAAAATTATTTTATATGTAAACTACCTAAGTAAACCCCCGATTGTTTCAATGATGTCACGATTCAATGTACCGTCTTCCATTTAGCATTTGAATCTTTAATCGCCATCGTATATTTCTGTTGGGAAGGTAAGCACATCTACCTGGTAGGTTACATACTTTAATTTCATGCATGCCTGATCCACTCAAGCTAACCGAACGAGTTTCCAAAATGTGATTCTTCGAAAATAAGCCTCGTCACCATTTATAGTACAATAAACTCTATTCTGTTGTTCTATTTTTCACTACTGACATCGACATTGCTACTACTGATGCCTTTCTCGGCCTCACTAATGCTTTTGTTATTTCAAATGTCATTAGTGATTATTTCAGCACCAACACCATTCATTGCATTACCGTTGTTTTTACACTCAATAATATCATTGTAGTTCACTTTCAAATAATGTTTCATCTTTCTGAACAGCGTCTTTTTAACCACTGTCATCGCTCCTGTAATCTTTGCAAAAGATATCACTGTTTGTACTCATGTTGCTATTGCCTTTATTCCTTACATTATTAAAATTATTACAAGCATCACTTCTCGTTTTATTTACTTTACCACATATAGAACCTATGTTTTCTTGTCTTTTATTACTTAAATCAATTTATTTATTGTTAATATCATTGGTTTTGTCATATGTTTCACGCATGTTATCAATCATGTTGCTTCTTGGATAAGCATTGTTTTCCTTCCATGTCCTTATTTCTGTTTAAACCTTCAATTAACCGAGTTGTTGATAATATCTCATTGATCCTCTAAATATGATCTTGGTACTTTCCTTGTTCCTCTAAAAGCCGTTGTTTTTCGTCGTTGCTTAAAATCATTTTAAATATTGTGTCAACATATATTTTGGATAGAGGAAGACTGATTTACTGGATATCTAACTTAATCAAATATATTCATATATTTGAACAAAATGTAATTATATTTGTTATGAGCAGAAGTTGTCAGGTACATGTAAATACATATTGAAAACCAGACAAATTTTTATAAAGATATGCCAAATATCCCACTATGGAAATAGAACAAACTTCATATAAATTGTAAATTATACATTCATAAATGAAGTTCAAATTAATAAATATATGTGATCTAGTTTTCTTCTTATAAATCAAGGATAATGAATTGCAAATGAAAGTGGTAGTGGTTGTTGATGATGACGATAATGATGATGATGATGAGTACAATAAACAAGATATTGATGATAGTTTGTGAAATTCATGGGCGAAATTATCTGAAGCGTGCCGATGTCTCGATACAAAAGGATGCATTATTTAATCAGGAACGTACACGTAAAACAATAAATCACTTTAGATAATCGTTTAATTTGCACATGCATATTAAAAAACAAGTCATTAACGGTTTCGATTAATCAAATGTGTGTAAAGGTCATACCTTTAAAACTAATGCATATCGTCTGTTTGCACTAACACGTGCACGCTTTAACATCACGTGCATTTACTAACACGTGACAATATCATTTTTAAGGATAGTTGCATTTAATTGACTCATTAGTTTTTTTATTTAGTTTTTACATTATTATTATTATTTAAGGAACATCATGCTTTAGAAGCGAATGTGTTTTCTCTTTCTTTTGAAATTGCAAACATGAAAGTAGCGCTAATTTTGAAATTATTTGTTATAAAAAATCATAATGTAAACAAAATAATATGTTGACTTAAATTTAAAATACTAAATTACTATTAATGTATTTATTGTCAAAATCAACAGAAACACATAATAGTTCAAGTAATTACATTAATTTATATCGTAGAAACTTTTACAGGACACAAAAAAAAATAAATGAAAACGTTTGATTAATTCAAACAAAATCAGTCCTGTGGCATAATGGGCCTCTTATATAAAAAAAACCTTTTAACACAAAGCGGTATATTGACATTTGTATTACCTTAATGTACTTGACTAAGAGAAATTTAAAATCCAATGGGAAATAGAAAAAAAAAATTATGTTAAAGACAAATGCAAAATTATGTCTTTAGATGTTAGAAGTATATAGCAGATGGATGGTGATCACAAAGGTGATGGATAAAGTTATAAAAGGCAAAATCGTTCATACCTTTTTAAGTGCTTTTATTCAATTCTATACGAAATCTGAATAAAAAAATATTCTTCATTAAGATATATCTTTTATATAAATCAACGATATGAGCACCTTTCAACACCAATACAATTTCAAACTGTCATCACCATCATCAACAACAACACATATAGTAGAAACAACAAATCAACAAAACAATAACATTGTCATCTGATTCATAAGTGATTAGAATATCTGTTTTGATTTCATATCATCCAGCAAGAGTTTGATAAATATCGTTATATATCTAATGAAGTAAATGTTTATGTGAATAATGCGTTTATTCAATGCATGTTTAGTTATTAAGAATGCGACATCTCGCTGCCTAAGTGCATGTCAAGATTTATAGCGATATTATAATCATTAAAAAAATCGCGCGTTACTTAAAATCTCTGATATAATTTCAATAATAATTTAAGTGAATCAGATGAAAGAAATGGTAACACACATACATTAAATGTTTTGGTTGACGGGTTTTGTTGCACTGTAACATGATTGCACCTAATGTTCCCTACATTTTGATAAACTACTAGCATCAAGGTAATAAGATTGAATGATAAGAGAAATATGGGTCGTCCTACACTTTGGTTACTGAACTCCTGAAACGAAAATAGAGCTATGCATTCCTCGAATATTATAAGTTAGACAAAACGAAATGATTTTTTTCACTTTAAAATTTGGAAGTTCACCAAGACTACGAAATCCCCGTAGTAAGTTTCGTTGTACTATGATATTCATATGAGTTTTTGTTAATTGCCATCAACTATTTTACATTTATAAATAGACAGCAGTTTTTTCTCTTCTTGTACTAAACATGTTCCGCAATACTTTTTTATTATTGGGTAATTTGATAAAAATTACTGATTGGTGGCGATTATTTATAATTTTTCAATGTTATGGGTGGTAAACCATACAAATCAAACAGTATGTCATAATTTACGAATTACGAATCTGTTGCAATTACAAACTACTGATAACTGATTGTGCCACATAGATATTCGTAATTCTTTACGTTACACATGCTGCGACATAGTCCATGATACATCTAACAATATTTGCACAATATGTTACCATTTTTACCGCTATACATTATATAACAATACTTAATAATCAACATGTATATTCGACATTGACCGTTTATCACTCTTTAGACTGCATTAGATTCAGACACACATATTTGTAATAAAAGCGTGTTTACAGAACAGAACTGACTTGCTTGTATATATAAATGTTGAAATATATTATAAAGTAAAGAAAAAAATCATTTTTTCATGTCAACTTGCTTTAATTCCTAACTCAAATGGACCCATTTTAGCTAACATGACCCCTTTTAGCTAATATGGCCCATTTTCCTGTCACTGTGTCACTTTACCAATTTTCTCAAACAACTGTGAAACCATTTCAATTCAACAATCTATAAACTGACACAATGACCTATAAATGACAAGGATTATTCAACAAGACCATGAAACGTTCTCATTAAAAGTCAATTAGAATTTTTACCAACTTAATACTCATCTAATTGGATGCAACAGCCTCATATTAAATCTAAACTATCTCTATGAAACATTTATACCCCCATTTTAAATGTGTTTCATTGCCATTGCGCATACTGATAAAATTCACGATAAGTCGTGTTTCTTCTAAGAAAACCATAAAATGCAAGCAACCGTTTAGTCATAGACATTTTAAACGTTTAAAATGTGACGTTAAATGCATTGAAGACAATTAAAGTGGTGTTATAAAAATAATAAACCAGACCTATCACTGCGAACGGCGGTTGAAGACTGTCGAAACGGCTTTTAGTGGGTTAAAACGTTGGCAAGAGAAATAACCATTGAAGTCACATTGCAAACTGCACACTGAAAAAAGTCATTATAAGACACCAATCTAATTTAAGGATCTTAATTAGCAGTATGCAATATGAACGCCACTAAAGTACGTTTTTAGTAGTGTGGAATCCAGATACTCTGTTAAACTCTCTAATGCTGGTGATTAAAATTAGTCTGCAAAAGTTTACCGCATTTAATATCACAATTTATCTGTTGATGCTTTTAAAAATTAAAAGCTTTTTGCAGGACTTTTTAAATTTTTTTCTTTTTATTTCTTTTTAATTTTTTTCTTTTTATTTCTGTTTTACTAGTTTTATTATTATTATTCATTTAATCTTTAACCAAACCATGATGCAGGATGCCTATACAAGATAAGGCACGTGAGTTTAACTGCAACAGGCAGAGGTAAAAGAATTCCATTTGAACAGTTTATTGAATTTCTTGTCGCGGTTTAACATGTCATCTGATAATGCCAAAATCATTTAATTATACATGACATTATTTCCCATAGAAGTAGTGTTAAATTATTGATCGCCTTGAACGAGGAGATTTTACTTGCTACAATGCCAGTCGGAATGTGAAAGGGGCTAGTGTTGTCGATTATTTGATAACTGACTATAGAAATTTTGCAAGTTTTTCAAATATGAATATATTGGAATTGACAGAATTTTCTGATCATTGCCCACTTGTTTTTTCATTAGATTGTGAGCATATGATATTTTATCACACTGATTTATTAACTTATGATAAAATTGTGTGGACTGATACTGATCCAGATTTATTTCAATCTTTGTTGAACGATAAAAAATTATTATTGGATGAATTGTCGGTTAAATTAGCTTCGGATGAAATTGATATTGATATGTGTATAAATAACTTTACAGATATTGTATATGATATATCTTTTAAAATGAATGGTAAAACTTTTCACACTAAAAAGTATAAAAAAGCAATTAAAAAAGTGCCATGGTTCGACAATAGTTGTAAACAGGCTAAAGCATCTTTCTTGAATAATAAAAGAATTTTCCATAATAATCCTTCTGAAGCAAATAGAGCTAACTTTTTGAATAGTAGGCGTGTATTTTGTAATGTAAAAAATAAAGCAAAACGTAACTTTAATTACAAGGAAAAAGTTAAATTGTCTCCATGAGTAAACATAGTCCAAGGAAATTTTGGAAGTATATAAATAAATTTAGAAATAAGGGTTCTGATGTTAATATTTCTGATTTTGTAGACCATTTTAAGAATATCTCCACCAATCAGCAGCCTTATTATTCTCAGGAAGATGAGCATAATAGTAGACCCGAACATCTGTTTATTGATAAATTAGATTGCGCATTTACTGTAGAGGAAGTCTCTAAAACAATACGTTCTATGCAGAGACACAAGAGTGCTGATTATAGTAAAATTGTAGCAGATTTTTTTATTGATGCAAACACGTTTATAGCTCCATACCTTGTTGTATTTTTTAACAAAATATTTGATACTGGAATTTATCCAAGTGCCTGGTCTAAAGGTATTATTGTTTCGATACACAAAAAAGGGGATATCTCTAATCCTTCCAATTATCGAGGAATCACCCTTGTCAATGTACTTGCTAAAATATTTTCACTTATTCTTCGAAATAGATTAAACATATGGTGTGAAGAGCAAAAA